GAGAGAGAGAGAGAGCTAGTAATCATTTAGTAAATCATTTAGTTTATATATCATTAAAATGATTAAAATAAGCATCTCGTTATAACTAAAATAAATAATTTATTTTAAAATAGTATATATTATGTATAATTGCATAAATAAAGATATAAAAATTAAATCATCATGATGAATTAATATATGTACAAAAATATAAAAATATAAGGATGAAAAAAGTATATATATATTTATATGCTAAATTATTAAAAAAATGATTAAATAAATATATATAAAAACTAGTATCAATATTATAAAAAAATTATAGACAGTTTGAATTATTAATATAATTTCATAAGTATTTAATTAAATCTTGTGAAAATTATTCATATGAAATGTTATATATGTAGATTATTTATTTTATTTAAACATTTTATCAAATAGAAATTTCAATTAGATTTTTATATTTATATATAGAATTAAATATATAAAAATATAAAGATTTTTATATTTTATATTTTTTTTTCAATTCAGATATTTATATTTTCTTAAAATCATACATAATAAATTATATTTTAAGTATAATATTCAATTGTTGTTTACATTTAAAGGATAATAGATGATCACATGAGCGATTTAGATTATCAACCATTAATGCAAACATACATCAAAGGTAGTTTTCACCCCTTATTCTTTTATAAAACTTTCTGCTCTTTACTTTCCTCTCCCTATTATCGATTAATTGAACACGTGGCTAAAATATAAAATGTTATCCTGTACGATCATGTTTACGAAGGATAATGCTTATTCATCTTTTTTGATGATCTACAATAAAATTCTGTAGATTGCTGGCTTTTGTATTTCTTTTTTCGTTTAAAGATCGTAAACTGATCTTTTTTGATAGTTTGTTCTCACTTTAGACGTGATACTGATTTTCAATTTTTTAATTCTCAATACAAATGATTATATAATTTTAATAATTCAATTGGTTTTAATTTTCAATCATCTTCGTTAAATATATCATTGATATAAAATTTGGTTCTTTTGATTCTAATATTTGAAATCTAATTTGAATTGATATAAAATTATATATATATGTAATTATACACAATATTAATATTAATATATGTAATTATAATTAATAATATAACAATAAAAATATGATGTTTTTTCGAAATTGTTTGTATAATTTATTCATTTTTATTTCAATTTTTTCATTTTATATATTTTTTTATCTCATATTATTATGTAAAAAAAGTTATTATGTAAAAATAATTACTTTAATGATCATAATATAATTTTATAAATTTAATGATATTATTCCATGTAAAAAAATTATAAATATTTTAATTTTAATTATAAGTTGTAAGTAAATTTACTTCTTTAATCTTATATGATATATTGAATTTGCTAAAAACATCTCTCTATTACAAGTTTGAGTGTACTATTCTGTTTAAAGTACATAGGCAAGCACATAAAAATAAAATTAGCATGTATACACGTATAGATATATTCATATATACGTAGCATATACAATACATAAAAGTTAACTTTGAATATATAGAGTATTAGAATTTTAAATCGTTTTTACAGTTGTGTAAACATTTTTTAAATATTTATTGTATACTAAAAAATTTGAAAAAAAGAACATCATTTTTTATATTAACAATATAATCTATTTAAAATAAAAATAATTTATTAAAAATAAAAATTTTTTAATTTAAAAAATAGTAAAAATCTATTGACATTAGACTTTTCAAAGTTCACGATGATGAGCCCGATTTGCAAGTCCTTGAAATCTAAGTCTAACTGACTTGCTCCCCGACAATCTTATCCATTCGACGAGATAGCGTACCACTAATCTGTCACGGACTTTACACTGTTAAAACTAGCATTCAAACAGCTTCCAGGATCGTACGCGCGAAACTCGAAGTCAAATTCAAAGAAATGTCACTGCTTGGTAACGATCTTGCATCACACCGCGAAACGAAATTCATCGATTGCATAATTTATAGTACAAGATAAATTGACGATTTCAAAAAATTTCTCGATGCGATTTAATTAGATGTATATTTGAAATTATTAATTATTTATATAAAATAGATTAATTTCAAAGAAAAGGTACTGATTATTTTCTTTCTTTTTTTACTATTGTTATTTAGTAATTTTCATATTTTAAAATAGAAATAATTTCCTAAATGAGTAATATAACATTGAAATAATATTGTATAATTTTTAAATTAATTTGAACTTTTTATTTTAGTAATTTATTTGGCTGTAGTAGTGGAAAATTATCCAGAACATCATATCTATAAATAATACAGCACGTCATTGATAAATGGACGGATAAAAATTAGACGATATCGAACAAACATATTATCTGTTAAAGAAATATTAAATGTTTAAAGTTAATTTTATACAAAAAACGAAAATTTTTTATATAAGGCAATATTTTCTGGTTTTTCATTTATTTAAATATTCCCGACGGAATTACGCTCGATAATCATAACACGGCAGGCTATATTGTGCGCGTTGTTATTTCTTGGCCCGATAGCGTGGTGCGCGACGTCGTTGTCGAGCTGTTTTTCGTAGTTGGCGATCTCACCGGCAGGCGCCGCACCGATCGAGTCCCCTTTCGAAAATAACACACGGCCGGTTGACGTCATGTTGTCATGACTGCCGACCGCCGGCACCAACATTGACTCGATGTCGTTCTTCTAGTGCCTGAACAGCGCAGAAAATTTGCCTCAACACGAATTGATTACATTTATGTGCTATACAGTTTTGAATTCGAGATGAATTAAAATTTCATATATTTCACGATGCATCGTTTAACATTGCATCGATTGTTTTTTCAGTTAATACTATAAAATAAAATATAAAGCGAATATTAAGAAATTTATTTTTATATTGATTTTTTTCATATTATCTCTTTCTCTTCTCATTCTTTCATCTATTTTTTTTGTTTTTCCATTCACTTTTAATATACATATATGAAAATATATTTTATTATTTTATACTTTCATGAAATTATTATCAAAACAATTATGTCATAATGTTGGTATAACTAAGTTAATGATCTAACCTCTAAAGAAGCAACACTTTTGAATATTTTTCGTTATTAAATATGTAAAGCTGCACTGAGTTCTGGAGCATTTGAATTCAAAAATGGATTTGAATATTCAATCTTATAGTTTCATCGTTTCAATGTATTCGCGCATGTCTAGCATGCAGACATATATATGTAGCTTAGGAATGTACGACGCCACACACTAACTGGTTTTATCTACGGGGCTCCGATGTCTTCGTGTGTGTTCGTTCTTTGGCTGACTAGATAGCTTTGACTCGTGTAGCAAACATTACCTCATCGTCAGGCATAGCCGGATCCACAACGAACCTTCTCTACTTTTGATTGTTCTCTCGCATCTTTTCTGTGTTTACTTATTAGTTCTAAAAATAAAGTGAAATTGAACTTATTCAAAATAAATGTATTTACAAATTTACTATTCAAATAAAAAATAACATATTTGAATTAATACTTACATATTGAAATCATTTTCTTTATTTTTTCTATTTAATCAAATTTTTCATTCTTACTTAACTTATATTTTTATTATTTTTCTTTTATTTTCTATGTCAATTGTAATTTTACATGATTTTATAAAAATAACGTAAAAACAAATTTTATTAATCTTCTCATGCGTATATGTTATAATTTATCTAGATAGGCTTCACGCAGTGAACATTATCTTATTGCGAGCACGGTCGTCATGAATCTTTTCTAGTTCTGGTACTTCTCTCACGTTTATTCCATTGACCTACATTCCTGATGATAAAACAGGAATTGGAGCAAATTTGTTTATGAAAATTCCTTCACTAAAGTTTTTATAAAATTTATTAATATGTTATTATTTTGTAATAATTATTTAGAGAAATATTCTTATATTTTCTCAAAAATATTATTTATTTATTTATGTTTAATAAATTTAAAGTTACATACAGTTTAACAAATTTAATAATTTATTCGTTGTATTTCATTAAAATTTCTTTAATGATAAAAATTATAATGTTAGAATATATACGATATTTCAAATCATCCGTTTATCTGATTAACCTCGAAATAAATCCTCTATATGAATTGATTACGGAATTCACTACTAGATGGCATTCCTGCAAAAAAAATACGATATTATTTAATACTTATATAAAAATAGTTTGAGATATAAAAAAAAATAGTTTATTAAATATTGAATGATCAATCTTTTTAATTTATGATAATCTATTAAGAAAAATGGAAAAATATTTTTATTTCAAGTAATATAAAATATCAATTTCACAATCAAAAGCAATTTTTATTATCATAAACCTGAATTACTGTAAACAATTACATTAAAAAATATAAACGAATAAAAATTAATTTTGTAGCATTTTCTTTCAATGTTGCGATTCTCTAACACAAATGAATATTCAAAAGATTCTTTATATGTAAGAGAAAAAAACGCAAATTGCAACCCTTAAAGATTTCACGAGAGGAAAAGAGAGTGGGATGAGCACATGCTTCTTGACTTTGATTTATGGATAGTTAAGAGCCGTGCATTTCTGCTACACACAGCTAATCCGTTATGCGGTAACTCCCTACAGTAACCACCCGGTGGTCGTCTCGATTCAACAAGTGCGCCCGGACCATGTTTCGCAAACATTGTTAGGCCATCCGTTCAATTCTTGATCACGCTCATTGAAATCTTGATCTCAATTGTGCCAATAAATGTGATTGACTATTTTTTAATATTAGACATAGGAAATTATAAAATTCATAGATATTTCAAATAACTTAGTTGATAAAGTAAAAATTTATAAATAATAAATTTAAATTCCGAATCTATTAGATTTTATTTTTTATATTCTCCTGTTACTGATGATTATTTATCATAATATTTGTTCTTTTTAATATATGATAATTCATTAAACGGTATTATATTAATCATAAAGATTAATATTGATAAATATTGATAAATATGTATTGGGAAAGTATTGATCGACAAAACTAGAAGTACTTTCCTGAGGAAATCGTGTTTTCACTGTAATGGAAGGCGAAATCAAGCTTGCGGATACGATCCCTCATTGTTTTCCCCACGATTCCATGAATCGTCTCTCGAAGAGCTCCGGGACTGGTCGACCCTGTTGGAAGGAGAACCTTCGCGAGCGAGTCGTATTCCAAGTAGGCCGCCGCGGCGGATGTACACCGTCGAATCGAGATTGAGTCGTTGGCTGCTGTTGCTGTTACTACTATAGTATAACTAGTTACTTCTAGAAATCTATAAATTGTTTCTAAGAAAGCGTACTTTTCTTCTCTTCAAAAGTTATTTTTCATAATGAAATTATTATAATAAAAGTCAAATTATCTTTTTGTACATTAATTACATTCGAAAAAGTTACATTTATATTCTTTATTTAATTTGAAATTTTTATTTTTCTATTATTTATTTAAAATACGATTAAATAAAACAGTAAATTGCTTCGCTTGTTTTGCCATTACTATCGGTATCATTATGAGCGCGCGGTATCGTCTGATGACATTGCTCGTTTCCTCGGAACTTTTTTTCCCTCCTTTTTCCACTGTTGTTCTTACTAGTTGCACACACACGAGACTCTTCATATTGGACAACATAACGCATCGATTATCTGTTAAATGACGTTCACGCCACCGTTTCACATCCCCTATCCATAGGTCAACTCTTCGCTACTTCTATTTCCTCAATTTTTGTTTTTGCTTTTTTTTATGAAATCAAACGTCATGTGCAGACCACGTGGATCGGACAAAATGATGAACGTATCGCTAGTGACATCCTACGGCAATTCGTTCAACTAACTGCACTATCAGTGATTCTCAATTAAATTTATATAATTTTTATTTTTTTAAATTTTTCTATTCTTATTTTAAAAGTTTTATTTAAACAAAAGTTGAGAGAATAAAAAATGATTATTTATTCACTTTTATTCTCATAATTATAAAATTGAATTTATATATATGAATGAAAATTATTGATATCTAAATACTTCATCATTTGGAATTATCGCATGGATCGATTAACTTTCTTTGAGTTGGTATCATTGTAAGTGATGCAAGCTAGCATTTATATACTTTACATTCATTAATTAAAAAAAAAAATAAATTAAAAAATTAATTAAGAAAATATAAACTTATTATTATTTAAATTTTTCTAATATCTGGTTTAATATGTTTACTAGTAATAATAACAAGAATAATAAAGTCACTATTAAAATATTGAAATAATAATACATATTTTCATAAATTTGATATATCTGTGAACGAATATAAGAAGAAAAATGAAAACAAAGACGGAGGGAAAGATAAAATGAAGAGGAGTATTTCACAAGGGGCCCGCATGCTTGCTGATTGAACCCATGAGTAACAACACTCCTCTGTCCCCTTCGCCATTTGTGTCCCCCTTCTCTTCCATACCCACTCGATCATCCATTCCAACGATGACTTCTTCCAGGCTAGGGTAGGGAGTCGTCTGACGTCATTCTCCAACGTCTGTCAGCGAGCCGACCCTCTGAGTCATGCCGTTTTGCCTACTCTTTTGCTTATAGCAGAATATCGAGACTCGGCAAGGTCTCTCGTGATCATGTCGCTAAATTATCACTTAAGAAAGATTCCTAGCTTATCATTAAAATTTTTTCTCTTTCTTTTCTTATAACAAAAAGTATAATTTGTTAAATTATTTTAATTTAATTGTAATATTATATTCTTCCTAATATAATAATATCAATATTCTTTAATTTTCTATATAATATATAATAATAATATAATGATAACTATATAACAATACTATTTATATAATCTTATGAAAGCAATTTTAAAAATAGATATAAAATGAAAATACTTACTTTTTTATAAAAAAAAAAAAATTTAGAAAAACTAATATAATATGTAATTTATTTATTTTTAGAGTTGTGCAATGATGGGTCTGCAGGCCACGGCAGGGAAACGTAAACTGGAGGGAGGTGTGGGCTGCATGGAGTTCGACATGGATATGGGCGAAAGCCCATCGAAGTTAGGCCGAGTGGAGGGTAGCTGGTGGGCGATGGAGGATAGTTACACGCCCCCGCTTAGCCAACACCGGCTTCTTATTACGATATGGAAGTGAGTCCGCCTTGCCTGCAGACAAATCCTTGTCAACCAACATCGACGAGTCCTCAACAACAGCAACAACAGCAACATCAAACGGCGCAGCAACAACAGCAACAATCATCGACGCCAACGTCAGCGCCTCCACCGTCTACGGTGGCGCACCTACACCATCATCCGCAGCACTACTATCACCATCAACGCGGACCTACTAGTCCGGTCGGTAATAATGGTTACAGTCAACTGTCGAGGCCTCAGCCGCAATGGGGAGCGCCTCATCATTATGAACCTCCAACGATACGGCGAGAAGAAAACGGAAAAAGTTACTTGGAGCTTGGATCTAGTTATCGAGCAAATGATAGATGCTGCGAAGGTTCGAGGTCAAGTTGGTGTCGACGTGGCAGAGCGTGTTACAGACAAAGGCGACTAGCCGTATTAAATATTTCGATGTGCAAGCTGGCGAGGTATCGCCAATTTCCGGATCCGAGCCTTCATCGATCGGTTCTCATCTGCAATACATTGAGGCATCTAGAACGCGAGATGGAGAGGGACAGAAGTCCACCGCCCATGGAGCCAGTTATACCAGCACCCATTGCTCAACTTCAACCTCCTGAGCAGGGCAGGTTAACGCCATTTCCAATGCCACCAACGTCTTCAAACGAGACAGACGTCGATTCTGGTATCGGTGATAGCGATGATAGTCGTTCGATTAACTGGGGCAGTGTGCTATCTCTTTCGAGTCAGTCGCCCTTAGATCCACTAAACAACAACGAGTTACTGGATGTCGATATTGGTCCGGATCTAGATTTAGACTTCATGCCTGGATGGAAACTGACACCTCTGTCTGCGGACGATATTCTTAGGAGTACAACGGCGCAAGAACAGCAACATCAGCAACACCATCATCATCAGCAACAGCAACAGCAGCATCTGGTGTCGACCAGCGGTAGCTGTGCCAATAGCAATGTGGCCAGTGCCTGCGTTAGTACTGGAAGTAGCAGTAGTACGCACGAATCGTTAATGTGCGTTGGATCATAGCCCCCAATTTTGACATCGTTGAGTCATCTCATCGATTTTTACCCACTGATGCCGCAGAGCAAATAAGTATGCGGCATTTACAAAGAACCACAAATCAAGATGTAGAGACGATGCAGTCGCCCGCCTCACGAATTATTTGCAACGCCTGGTCGGCGATTCTCCAGGAGGTCTTCTTTTTCTTATTTATTACCATTCGTGTCAATTACGCACCGATCGATTATCTCGGTTACGTTCTACTTCGTATTACACCGGTAACCAGCATGGGTGGTCTACTCCTTATGGGCGAGGAGGTATGAGACGTGATACCTCCTGTGTTCGCAGGTGCAACTGGTGCAGAATTCATGGCCCATTGGAAATATTTAAAATTCAAAGGAAATAGAGGTGATTACAATTTTTAAACCGACGAGTACCTAAACTCACGTTGTTTCAATGATATTTATTAACTAATAATTTAATATTTTATACTTTGTTATTATAATTAGATTTAAAAATTATTTACTACCGATTTAATAGAAATTATTTAAATCTTTTTATTATACATATATATATATATATAAACACATAATATATAATATATATATATGTATATGTGTGTGTGTAAGAAATATATTTTCACATTCGAATGAATTATAATTTTTAGTTAACGAACAACGCGAGATCGGGTCCTCCTCCGGATCATCATCAGCGACCACCTCAAAACGAGCCTGGTTATACTATATCGAAACGATCTGTTTTTGCAGCTGCACCTGCGAATTCAGCGGCACATGTATGAGTTCCCGAGTCGCTCGAAATGTCGCCACCGGCACGTCAGACAGAAAGAAATAGAATGAGAGAATGAAAAAAGAGGGAGAAAAGGGGGGGAAGAGAGCGAGAGAAATAGAGTGAGAGAGCGACAGGGAAAAAAGAGAGAAAGTGAAAAGAGCTCAATGTTCACGCCCCCGGGCCGGCGATACGGTAGGACAAGTAAAGGACCTATGTAGCCTTCTTCTTCGACTCTTTAAAACAACGATGACAAACGGCACGGTACTTCGACAGACTGGAAAAAAAAAATCTCTTCTTCTTTCTACATTTCTTGGTTTTCTTTAAATTTTCTTAATTCTTTTATTCTTTCCTTTTTTTTTTTGTAATTGATTCGAACAGCGCGATATCGCTTGCCTAGCTGGCTGGACGTTGAGAACTCTTGGCGTCGTTTGCGACAGCCAATCGAAAAGGGAGTGTCCATCATCATCGATCGCTGTTTTCTCTTTGGATTAGAAAGACTATCCAGGCGACGATTAATTAATGCCATACACTGTAACACACTAACGATACATTACACGCGTAAGACATAACCGCCGTGGCCTATACCGTACACTGATAAATACATACACATACACACGCGCGTATACACCCACGTATAAATATACATACATATGTATATGTACATCAGACAGATATACAGGTTCGTACACAGAAAAGTCGATATATGGTGCTAGGACGATCACACCCTGGTGCTTAATTCTGTACACACAGAGCCATGTGCGTAAATTCGCACGGATCGCCTGCAGCCTTCGTCGAGGAGTCTAGATACGTCCTGACGTCGTGAACAGAACATAGATGGTCGAACATATTTCCATTGTGTGATATCCGATATGAAGCGAAATTAATTATAGTAGCATCAATATCGTTCCTGGATTCTCGAAGGCTTTCGACGATTATTAAGGGTAATATCATATGCCGAATAGATGGAGATATGTTAGTGAAAATGCGTACTATGTTCTGACGCACGATGCTAACAAATGTACCTGCATTTTAGAGATCGGGATAAATATCGGTTCCTTCGTATCATCGCACGTAGGCCACTGCGCGCCACTGATCTCCCGTTAATAATATGTACCATAATACTATTGTAAAATAGAGTGGCCGACGAGCAAAGAACGAAGGGAGCCAATAATTCACTTGGGGTGTGGAACGGAGAGATTATTAAGAGAGAAGAAAAAAAAAAAGTAATAAAATAAAACTCGACGATACGCACTTCGCGAAGAGGAATGGCGATCCGCGCGCGATCTCGTCCTCAACGTCCACTAACTGAACTCAAAAGAGCAGCTATACTTAAATCGAAGTTAAGCGTTGTAAAGCGAATTTAAAAACGAACGATAAAGCGATATACAATAATTTATAAATCGACTGATTACTTGTGTGAGGGAATGAAAAAAGATGGGGGAAAAAAGAAAAGGAAAAAACAAGAAAGAAAGAAACGAAAAAAGAAAACTCTACTGATAACATTTCACAAGTTGATTTAAAACTGTAATTAATTCAATATTAAGCCGACATTATACACTGACACGAGACACATACCATACAAAAAATCCATTCGTGACATGCGATATTTGTATACAGGAATACAAAGAACACGAAATGTACATGTTTATACATGAAATACATTAGATACTTCGATGTATATAGATACACACTACGTATTAAGTCTAATAATTGTTAACGCGAACTCAAGTGAATTCTCGACAGTTTTCATTTTTTCGTTCTTGTTTTCTATTTTTTTTTCTCTTCTTTTTTTTTCAATTGTTCTGTTAAAAATTTTGAATTTTCTAATTTTCATTCTATTCGATTGTCATCTTATATTCGATTCTTATATTGATTTTACGCCACACTAATCGTCTCATCTCTATTTCGTTCATTAGTTCCTCTCTCATTTTGTACAAAAAGAAAACAACGAGCAATATTACTTTAACGGTGCAGAAAATCTAGGAAGAAAAAAAAAAAAAATAAGTGTATCGATTTCGAATGATATGTGAACTTTTTCAAACATGTAATGGGGACAAATTTCTGTATGTTAGACCAGTGCTCGATTGAAATATAAATGTGAGAACATAGTGCAAAATATTACAAAATATTGAAAAAAATAATAGTATGTATGGATCAACAGAAATTTAAATTTCAATTGTCCAATTTCATTGATTTTAAAGGAACAATAATAATTTATGATCGAAGATATTCGATAACGAAATACAAAAAAATAGGGAAAGATGTTCTCATTACGTTTTTCTAAGATTGCAAATCGTTCGAATTCCATGCACAATTCTATTCTACAACCGCATGAAAATGTTAAAACTCAACAGCACATTTATACACAGAACACACATACATACGCGCACGACGTTGTGTGAAATTACAATGCGCGCTCGATATGAATGTACGGGGACGTTTTAGGATGGTTCAATGTTGTTTTCTTGCATGGTGTACCAATCAGAAACAGCGTGAGTTTTAAAGCACGTGGCACACATACACGAGATACACCAACGTATGCTAGATTGTTAAAGAAATTCGTCCATCGCGTTGATGCATCTCTCAAGTATATGCCTTTTCGTGTTTTACGATCGCAGCGCTACCTCATTGGCTTGGTGTTCTGTGTCGCGACACAAATGCCTTAAGATCCTTAAGATTTCTCTTTCGATACACGTTAATACGTTAAAAAGTTCTGAGGAGTTAATCAGAAAATCAACACTAATTGATGTATCGGAATTTTATTGATATGAAAATAAAAAAAATTACGAATCACGAAGAAATATTCTGATCTCTCGATCAACATTTTGTACAGAGTTTGATCGACGAACGGAATACCAAGCAAGTACGTTTGGAAACTAGACGCGAGACGGTATACTCTCGCTTCTCGGGCATGAAAAAGGAACTCTCGGAAGGTGATAAATAATTTCGTATTTTTTACACGGAAATGTAGCTTCTCTGCGTTGAAACGTATATTAAATACGCGTATACACATATATACACACGGTACCGACGGAGTGCCTGCGATTTTCGAAGATTTTAACGAACGTGGAGAAGAGGAGGCGCGAGCTATACGTGGATCACGAGATGCAGGGAAAACGTAACCGTGCGAGAGAACGACGAAACGAGTTCTATACGCGTGTGTTTCGACAATTGCGCCTACGTGCGTGTTAATGTTAACGTTTAAAAAAAAGAAAACAAAAAAAAATATGGATGTGTAACGAACACTACTTCAGAGAGTTACGATTGTAAATCGAGGAAAAGAAAGGAAGAAAAAAAGCATGAGGGATTCATTGTAAATAGTATAAATAGCACACGCGCAGAAGTATGTTTAAGCGGAAATAAAAGATGATATAATAGGTATAATGTGAAGAAAATATACATATATAAGATATTATTATATATTATATATAAACAAGAAGTATATATATAAGATTATTATATATATTTACCGTGGTAAGTGATATACAAAAGCGGTGACGGGGACTCGCGCAATCTCGTTGTGTTCGGATGATGTTGCTGTGATTCGCGGCTGGCCCACGGAGCGATTTACATTGATATTCAGTTTAATTTATAAAGCGCATATCTTGGGGGATATCTCGTTCTTTTTATAACCAAACACGAAAGCTGGTCATTCTATTGTTTTTGTCATTTCTTTTTTCATACATGCTCTTCCAAATCGTTTTTTGTGCATAGACATTGATAAAGATTATATAATCTTTGATTATTATATATATATATATATATATACATTCTCATGAATTCTTTTCTTTTCTTTTTTTTTTTTATTTTTTTTTTATTATTTCTTATGTTAGAATGACCAGTTAGACGTAACATATAGATTAATGAAAATGGAAGATGGAATCTATAAAGTTGCGTTTTTTAATTGTTTCGTAGTCGGCGGTTTTAACTCAAGAGCCTTAGCTGGATGCCGCCGTACGATTTTTAAAAACCTATAGTTAGCTAATGTCGTAGCTGTATTAAAATACAGTAAAATAAAGAAGTATTGTTTTATAATACACGTTTGTAATTACTTTTTGTTTAAAATACGAAAAATGAACGTTACAAATAAAAATTAAGAGTTAAAAACAAATTTAATTCTTTAAAAGATATTTTTAATCAAAGGCATTTTTTTAAAATAACGAAATATTAATTAGTAATAATTAATTCGCATTGGAAAATCAATATTATATCATCAATTTTTGATTAAGTCTCTTATTTTTAGATTTTCACATTTTATAAAAGAAATATAATAAAGTCTCAATAATCATAAAATATATATATGAGTTGCTAAATAATTACAAAAATTTACACAAATGGCAATCATGGATTTTAAAACGACGTAAATCTACGTTAGCGGCGATCAGCTAGGACTTTAAAAAGATGTAGAACTACGTCGACAATAGCCAATTTATTAATTTTTAATTTATAGGACAGAAGTTTAATCGTACTCTTTATCGAATTATTTATATATACAATTAAATGAGATTTATATTAATTTTCTTTATTCATTCATTGTTAGTATGAAAGAAAAGAGAAATACTTACTTATTTTTTATTATATTATTATTATTATTATTTTAAATATTAATACACATTTTATCTACTAAGAAGATTAATCTTCTTGGGCTGCCGCGAAAATGTACGATTAAGTTCCTATTACGATGATATCTAACCGAGAATTAGTTAGAGACATTTTTATTCGAGTCAAATAAAATGTGCAGCTCTTATGTGGGCCGCCTTACGAATGCAACGTCCTCGAATCCTCCTATTCTTTTTGTATGATTATTATTATTATTTTATTATTATTATTATTATTATTATTATAATTGTTATTATTGTTATTACTAGTACTACTATTATTATTACTGTTATTATTATTATTATTATTATTATTATTATTATTATTATTAATATTATTAATATTACTATTACTATTATTACTCTTAATAATAATAATAATATTATTATTATTACGATTACTATTATTATTACTATTATTTTTATTATTATCATTACTATTACTATTATTATTATTATTATTATTACTACTCTTATTATTATTATTATTATTATTTTTATTATTATTATTATTATTACTACTACTATTACTACTACTACTACTACTACTACTACTACTACTATTATTATTACTACTACTATTACTATTACTACTACTATTACTACTGCTACTATTACTATTACTATTATTATTACGATTATTATTATTATTATTATTATTATTATTATTACTATTGTTATTATTGTTATTATTATTATTATTATTTTTATCATTATTATTATTATTATTAGTGCTAATTTTATTATTATTATTAATATTATTAAATATCGATTGTATCTATCAAACGGACGCAAGAGCGATCTCTTTCTTTCAGTTGAAAATTATGAAAGAATGAGGCCGTATCAAAATGTGTCGATCAGCGTATGAAAAAATATAATTACCGAAAATGAGATGAAAAAAAAACATAAAAACGAGGACGGATGACGGATAATTAGAATTAGATCGTAACGGATCTCCGAGACCTTACGAGAGTCCCATCGTGACCGCAAAACTTAGGAACAGAAGGAAAGAAGAACACACGACACTGTACATTGTAAATATTAGCGCGGAGAAGACGGTTACAGAAAGACAGAGTTAATTAATTAAATGATAAAAATGGGATGATGCGAAAGAGAGCGAGAGAGAGAGAGTGTGTGTGTGTGTGTGTGTGTAAGAGAGAAGAGAGAAGAGAGCGAGCCAGAGTATATGTATAGTAAAAAGAAGAAGAGAGAGAGAGAGAGAGAGAGAGAGAGAGAGAAGAGAGAAGAAAGAAAA